AAGGCAAGTGGGAGGCAAGGGAATTTCTCCCAGTTCCTCCTTACCCCTGCAGCCCCTAACAGAACATCCCACATAATTCTAGATGGTCTCCTATAGTCCGAAGCAGATTTGCAGGGAACTATAAGGAGTACATCTTAAAAAGCAGAGACATCACCTTCCCAACAAAGGTCCATATAGTAAAAGCTATGGTTTTCCCAGTAGTGATGTATGGAAGTGAGAGCTGGACCATAAAGAAGGCTGATTGCCGAAGAATTGATGCTTTTGAATTATGGTGCTGGAGGAGACTCTTGAGAGTCCCATGGTCTGCAAGAAGATCAAACGTATCCATTCTGAAGGAAATCAGCCCTGAGTGCTCACTGGAAGGACAGATCCTGAAGCTGAGGCTCCAATACTTTGGCCACCTCATGAGAAGAGAAGACTCCCTGGAAAAGACCCTGATGTTGGGAAAGATGGAGGGCACAAGGAGAAGGGGACGACAGAGGACGAGATGGTTGGACAGTGTTCTCAAAGCTACCAACATGAGTTTGACCAAACTGCGGGAGGCAGTGGAAGATAGGAGTGCCCGGCGTGCTCTGGTCCATGGGGTCACGAAGAGTCGGACACGACTAAACAACAACATAAGGAGTACAGATAAACTGGAGAAACCACCTTTCCCCACTTCCTCCAGTGAGAGCATTCCATAAGTAGAGTGGAACTCTGCACCCAAGTCACCAGCTCTGGCAGCTCCTTAGGTCTCCACAGAAAAAGCATCTAATCTCATTTGCTCCAAGCTACCCTCTGTTGCTATTTTTTTTACTGGCATTTATTGTCTAAGAGCAGGATTCAGCTAAGTTGTTGTGTGTGCAGAATGAGGTCCAGTTGCACAACAAAACCTGTCTCCCTCTCCTCCCCACCTCTGTGCCCCCTAAATCTTCTTTGGAGGGTTAGGGCAACACCTGGAATGGGTTTAGTGGGTAGAAAGGGGTGGAAAAGTCTCACGGCACAAGTGGACCTCGACCCACAGGTTTATACCGACTTATGGCTACGCTGAGTGCCACCCTGTATTTTGAAAATCAGACTACTGGCACATCCATAACGAAAACATGCCACGAAAGTAGACAAAGTTATATACACTGTATAAGCACAACAAACATCCATTGCAAAGTACAGAGAGGAATTAATTTCAAGCTAGAAATTCTTCCCTGTAAACACATTAAATAACTGGGTGTACCAACTGCTGTCACAAGAATTGTGTTTATTTTATTTTTTTAAACTCTATTTGAAATACAGTCCAGTAAAGGTCAGTGTGGGTGAGATGACAACTTGCCAAATTTGTAAGTATTAAGAATATTTTATAACCCTTCCACAGCATGTTTGTTTTGGAGAAGAGTGCCAAAATAAAAAGTTACTAAACTATAAATATTTTAAGTGCTTTTTTAATTGTAAGCCTTTGTTTTAGATCCAAGCCTTAATAACAAATAGCTACTCTCAGTTCTTCTTGATGGTGAAGCTACAGTACAGGCAAGAGAAGAGATATAAGCCCCAGTGAAAGCAAGCGGTTACACAAGTAAGAAGTTAAAAATATATACCGTATTTTTCGCACCATAGGGCGCACCGGACCATAGGGCGCACCCAGTTTTTAGGGGGGGAATTCAAGAAAAAAAATCTTTTTCCCCCCGCAGCCCCAAAGAGCAGCGTACAGGCTGCACACAACCTCTCCCTGCCGGAGGGGTTGCGTGCAGCTATGGATCAAGCCAAGGCAGCGAGCGGGATGGATCCCGCTCGCTGTTTTGGCTTCCCCTAGCCCCGTGCAGCCTCTCCCTCCCGGGAGAGGCTGCGTGGGGCTAAAGAATCCATAGCCCCGTGCAGCCTCTCCTTGCCGGAGGGGTTGCGCGCAGCTATGGAGGAAGCCAAGGCAGCGAGCGGGATGGATCCCGCTCGCTGTTTTGGCTTCCCCTTTAGCCCCGTGCAGCCTCTCCTTGGCGGAGGGGCTGCACAGGGCTTTCCTGGCTTTCCTGGGAGGCGGGGGGATTCCCCCACCTCCCGCAAAACCGGCAGAAGCCGCGTGCCTTTTAAAAGGGCTGCACGGCTTCTCCTGGCTTTCCTGGGAGGCGGGGGGATTCCCCCACCTCCCGCAAAACCGGCAGAAGCCACGCGCCTTTTAAAAGGGCTGCACGGCTTCTCCTGGCTTTCCTGGGAGGCGGGGGGATTCCCCCACCTCCCGCAAAACCAGGCTCCCCCCCCCAGCCTTCTAACCAAGTCGGGGGACAGCGGCAAAGGCGCACTGCGCCCCTGCCGCCTTCCCCCGAGTTTGCGGGGCTGGCGACGGGGAGGAGCAGGCTTCTCCCCCCGCCAGCCTTCTAGCCAAGTCGGGGGACAGCGGCAAAGGCGCACTGTGCCCCTGCCGCCTTCCCCCGAGTTTGCGGGGCTGGCGACGGGGAGGAGCAGGCTTCTCCCCCCGCCAGCCTTCTAGCCAAGTCGGGGGACAGCGGCAAAGGCGCACTGCGCCCCTGCCGCCGTCCCCCGAGTTTGCGGGGCTGGCGATGGGGAGGAGCAGGCTTCTCCCCCCGCCAGCCTTCTAGCCAAGTCGGGGGACAGCGGCAAAGGCGCACTGCGCCCCTGCCGCTGTCTCCCGAGTTTGCGGGGCTGGCGACGGGGAGGAGCAGGCTTCTCCCCCCGCCAGCCTTCTAGCCAAGTCGGGGGACAGCGGCAAAGGCGCGCTGCGCCCCTGCCGCCTTCCCCCGAGTTTGCGGGGCTGGCGACGGGGAGGAGCAGGCTTCTCCCCCCGCCAGCCTTCTAGCCAAGTCGGGGGACAGCGGCAAAGGCGCACTGCGCCCCTGCCGCCTTCCCCGAGTTTGTGGGGCTGGCGACGGGGAGGAGCAGGCTTCTCCCCCCGCCAGCCTTCTAGCCAAGTCGGGGGACAGCGGCAAAGGCGCACTGCGCCCCTGCCGCCGTCCCCCGAGTTTGCGGGGCTGGCGATGGGGAGGAGCAGGCTTCTCCCCCCGCCAGCCTTCTAGCCAAGTCGGGGGACAGCGGCAAAGGCGCGCTGCGCCCCTGCCGCTGTCTCCCGAGTTTGCGGGGCTGGCGACGGGGAGGAGCAGGCTTCTCCCCCCGCCAGCCTTCTAGCCAAGTCGGGGGACAGCGGCAAAGGCGCACTGCGCCCCTGCCGCCTTCCCCCGAGTTTGCAGGGCTGGCGACGGGGAGGAGCAGGCTTCTCCCCCCGCCAGCCTTCTAGCCAAGTCGGGGGACAGCGGCAAAGGCGCACTGCGTCCCTGCCGCTGTCCCCCGAGTTTGCGGGGCTGGCGACGGGGAGGAGCAGGCTTCTCCCCCCGCCAGCCTTCTAGCCAAGTCGGGGGACAGCGGCAAAGGCGCGCTGCGCCTCTCCCGCTGTCCCCCGAGTTTGCGGGGCTGGCGACGGGGAGGAGCAGGCTTCTCCCCCCGCCAGCCTTCTAGCCAAGTCGGGGGACAGCGGCAAAGGCGCGCTGCGCCCCTGCCGCTGTCTCCCGAGTTTGCGGGGCTGGCGACGGGGAGGAGCAGGCTTCTCCCCCCGCCAGCCTTCTAACCAAGTCGGGGGACAGCGGGAATGGCGCGCTGCGCCTCTCCCGCTGTCCCCCAGCTTGTGGGGCTGGCGGTGGGGCTCTCCTGAAGCCTGGAGAGCGAGAGGGGTCGGTGCGCACCGACCCCCCTCGCTCTCCAGGCTTCAGCGAAAGCCTGCATTCGCACCATAGGACGCACACACATTTCCCCTTCATTTTTGGAGGGGAAAAGGTGCGTCCTATAGTGCGAAAAATACGGTATATTATCTCAAGTTTAACGTTTGTGTAAGAATTAAATGATAGATGTAGTAAAACATTCAGAAAGGCAAAACATAATTACAGGATTTCCAAAAATAATTATTTGGGGTGGAATTCATTGCTGCGCTATATCGAATTCCTGTAAGTTTGTCAGATGGAACCTTCATTCCTTTCCTCCTCCCACTTTGGAGTTCTCTCACACACCCCTCGCCAATTTTGAGGGGTTCAGGAGGCGAACGGGGGAGGGGAGGGGGAAAGCCACATTGCACAAGTGGAAGCCGTCGAGTAGAGCTTCCACCGAGAAGGCTTGCCTGGTGACTCCCACCATTAGTTTACATTTATTTGTGATTTTGAGATCTATAGGAAACATGGGGAGTTTTCAAAACTATGTACAGTCATACCTCATGTTATGTCCGCTTCATGTTACATTCTTTCAGGTTACGTCCTGCAGCGACCCGGAAGTACCAGAAAGGGTTACTTCCAGGTTTCGCCGCTCGCGCATGCGCAGATGCGCAAAATGACATCATGCGCATGTGCAGAAGCAGTGAATCGCAACTCGTGTGTGTGTGCACGCGCGCACACACACACACACACACATACAGTGTCGGGTTAAGTACTTAATTCGTTCCGGAGGTCCGTTCTTAACCTGAAACTGTTCTTAACCTGAAGCACCACTTCAGCTAATGGGGCCTCCTGCTGCTGCGCCGCCGCCAGAGCACAATTTCTGTTCTCATCCTGAAGCAAAGTTCATAACCCGAGGTACTATTTCTGGGTTAGCAGAGTCTCTAACCTGAAGCGTATGTAACCTGAAGCGTATGTAACCCGAGGTACCACTGTACTATACCAATTGTACTTTATATGCTGCCTTGGTGAAATGTCTCAAGCCAAATAACCAGCAAACGGCACAGCGGCAAGAGGAAACGGCTGTCTTCAGGGGTGGTGGATGGTGCAGAATTCCAGTGGTTTCTTAATGTGTGTTCAGCATCTGAAGTCATTTATCTGTGTGATGAAAAACCTACTAGGCTGTAATGCTGATTGCAAGAATAGCCACTTTTAACTGTGTGCAGCCAACTGTGTGTAGCCACGCAGAAGCTATTGGGCTTATTGACCAGACTAAAGCAATGCTAGAAAATGTATTATTGTGCTGACATAAGCTATTAAATGCAAATGAGCAGACATACTACCAAACCAATAGGAGTTCTATAATGAGGCTTGCAGCTTTCTTACCTGTGACTTCAAGCTTTTCACCATTCACTTCAGCCTTCAGATAGAGCCTTCCTCTTTTTTCTGTGTGATCCATTCCGCAAAGACTGGGTACATTTATTACGCATTGCTTGTGAACATTCATATCACAGGCTGCAGATCAGAAAGGAGACAATTCGACATCTTACATTACGTAGCACTGGCGAGGGGTAGAATCCTAAGGATTGCGACTGTACTGCATTACAAAAACCAATCACAGCAAACAGCAGATCTACCCAAACTACTTCTTTAGGTGAGTACTGGAAATCTGTGAGTTCATAGCCCCTATGGCAGGACCCATATGTTCCATATGAATTACGGCAAAAATTTGGTCAATGACCAGTAAAGAAGATAAGAAGAAAAGAAAGCACATAAAACACAATAAAATACGTTAAGTATACTATTAAATGTGGAGTTAAAAACAATGTAAAATATGTAGAAACAATGAAAAATATAGAATAATTATATTAAAACGGTAAAAAAACCAAGGTAAGGTATTAATAATTTTAAAATTAAGACAAGATCCTGTGCCTGTATCCTTTCCATATAGGCAAAATACTGGTAAGCAGTTTGTGGAAAGGCAGTTTTAAGTGGAGGAACATCCAGAAATGAAAGGATAGAGCCATTCGTCCCTCCCACTTCGCACATCTGTTGAAACATGTAGCCTTAGAGATGTGTTTCTGTGTGTGTGTCTGTGTGTCTCTGTGTGTTGGAACTACAAGACAGTGTGTAAAATGCGGATGGGCTCAGAACCAAAGACAACATTCCAGTTCACCAAGCTGACTGGAAAAGACTTTAGTGTCAGAAGTGGCATCAAAAACTGGTATGGATTTGAACTGAAGACAACAAACTCTGCCTAAGATGTGGCAAAACTTAAGTTGATCAAACATCTGCCAGGAGATCTTAAAAGGGACAGAGAAGATTAGAAAGGGCAGAATATCAAGAGAAATGCAATTGAGAATGTCAAGAACAAGGAAAGGGATGAAGAAAGTGTCTGGCAGAAGAACTATGACTACATAATACGTGGAAATATCATTAAGATAATTTATAAGAGTAACTTGCGTGTATGGAAAAAAAAGCCCTGTATCAGATAGGAACTAGGATGGATAGGAAAGGAAACCATGGCTTCCTAGCAAAGAACAAGACAGTAAGATTTCATTCTCATCCAACATGGCTCATCTCCCTGACTTGGTGCTGGGGCAGGAAGAAGTTTCTGGCAGAATCCAGGGAGGGAAAAACACTCCCTGTTCCCATTATTGGGGGGGGGTAGGGAGCAGCAAATATTCAGAGAAACAATTCCCATACGATTTCTTTTTCTTGATTTTTTTTTTTGAGTTGCACTCCTCTTCAGTAGCTTTTAAAATAGTAAGCTCTCACATATGACTAATGATAGCTTACAAGCTATTTGGGGATTCCATAGAAGTCGGTATGGGACGCGGGTGGCGCTGTGGGTTAAACCACAGAGCCTAGGACTTGCTGATCAGAAGGTCGGCGGTTCGAATCCCTGCAACAGGGTGAGCTCCTGTTGCTCGGTCCCTGCTCCTGCCAACCTAGCAGCTCGAAAGCACGTCAAAGTGCAAGTAGATAAATAGGTACCACTCTGGTGGGAAGGTAAACAGAGTTTCCATGCGCTGCTCTGGTTCGCCAGAAGCGGCTTAGTCATGCTGGCCACATGACCCAGAAGCTGTACGCCAGCTCCCTCGGCCAATAAAGCGAGATGAGTGCCGCAACCCCAGAGTCAGCAACGACTGGACTGAATAGTCAGGGGTCCTTTACCTTTTCCTTTAGAAGTCGGTATTTACTGAGAACAGTGATGAGACCAGTGTCTGAAGAAGAGTAAGAGGCTCTTATCTAATATATTCCTGTCTGTGAAGACCCTCTCCCCTTTTCTTCGGATATTTGACATTACTATTCATCCCATTTTCCATCTTAGAGGTATACACATCACAAAGATCCCTGCACCTCCAGAGATTCATCTCCACCACTGACAACTCTTCAGACACCAATGCCATGCATGGTGTGGAAACAAGCCCAGGCATATCCAAAACTATTTCACACAGGTACACACTCAAGTGGGGACCAATAGGAAGTTCTAATGCAGTGGTACAGAATCTGTGGCCCTCCGGATGTTGCTGGATGTACACTTCAGTCCCTGCTCTGGTTTACTCCCATATGAAGAAGAGTGAGATGGACCTAAATAGCTTCTCTCAAAGCTGGTAAGTAAAGGAGAAAGAAAGAAAGAAAGAAAGAAAGAAAGAAAGAAAGAAAGGAAGGAAGGAAGGAAGGAAGGAAGGAAGGAAGGAAGGAAGGAAGGAAGATCTTGATGACTTTAAATTACAGTTGATGTCCTGGTTTGCCATGATGTACACCAGTCAACAATGGAGAAGAATACCTGGAGGTGCAGGGATCTTTGTGATGTGTATACATCTAAGGCAGAAAGTGGGATGAATAGTAATGTCAAATATCAGAAGAAAAGTGGAGGCTCCCAGACAGGAATATATTGGATGAGAGCCTCTGACTCCTCTTCAGACGCTAATCTTATCACTGGTCTCAGTAAATACTGACTTCGAAGGAATCCCCAAATAGCTTGTAAGCCATCATTAGTCATATGTGAGAGCTTACTATTTTTAAAGCTATTGAAGAGGAGTGCAACTCAAAAACAAATGTTTGTGCACTTCCTGGCAACAGCTGCTTTTAGTTTAAAAAATTGTTATAACTAGTCTTGCATCTCCAAAAGGAACAGCAGATTAGCTTGTGCTACAACCTGACACGCTACAATAATATTTGAGAGCCCCAACTATTAGCCATGCTGACTGGGACTGATGGGAGTTGTAGTCCAACAACATCTGGAGGGCCCTGAGCTGGGAAAGACTATTTTATATAATGTACAAAGCATTCTAAGAGGTAGAACTAGACTACCATGGCTAATGCCATTCAGACCTTCAATGCCTGGTCCCAATAAGGTGAAATTCCTCTTGAGACCCCTCCCCAAGACCAATTTGAGGTACAGTTGTGACTATTCCTATAGTATTAGCCTGATTCTGAACAGTGGAGATGGCTCTAGAAGAACTGGATCCCTACTAGATTGCTACAGGTAAAAGAAACATAGACAAAATGACCAACACCTTGAGCCCTATTTTGGGGGATTTAAATGCTATGAGGAAATGGTGTGCCCATGAGTGTTATCTGCAGTGTTGGGGCTATAGAGAGCAGGTCAGCATTGCCCTCCGCTTCAAGCTACCACAGTGGTGGAGACAACAAAGGCACATTGGAACTGCAGAATTTCTCTTAGTGGTTTCCCAATCACTGGTGCTTTGGAAGGTGATTCCTCTTACATTTATGCCTTTCTCTATGCCTTCATAATGACAGGTACGTGCCTGCATCTGCTTCATCTTCAGAGTAATTCTTCTTCTGCAATAGTCATGTTGGAACACTGACTGAAAGCTTCTTTCAAAGGAATGACTTCCCAAGCGCTTGACAAGCCAGGTTCTTTTCTTTCAAGCCATGGTTGGTACTACCTCTGGCCCTAGGATCATACACTTATCTTCTGCATCCAGCCAAAGCCTGGTGCTAGGAACCATTGAGTGAAATAGACTCAAGAATGGTGACTGCTCTAGCAAAAGTTTGCTCTCCCCAGAAGAAACTGAGGTCGAGGCCCAAGTGTTGGGAATGGGTACTGCTCCTCCATTAGAGGGCGTTGCAAACTGGTTCCCATCACCCATCCAAGAAGGGACATGCCACATGAAACACTGTCCTAGTCTCCACGATCGTGGTTTAAGGAAGACTGAAGTTAGAAGTAATGAAGACAGCAGAATGGTTGAGCAGACAGTACAGAAAAGAACTATGAAGCCACAAATTGCATTTAATTTTTTTTTAATGCTTGGGTTTTTGACCACAGTGTTCCAAATCAACCGCTGATTGAAAGTAGTAGCTCTTTCTTCCAGTAAGTTTCCATTAAAATATTGCAATAGCAAAATCCACATTGGAGAAAGCTCCTTTCATATACGGTATTTTGCTAGATGTTCTCAAATATTAATTTGAAATGGACAGTCATGCTTGCAATTAACAGTAACTGAAGCGATATTTTCCTGCCAAGAAGTTGGTCAGTGCCTAATGGTTTCATTCATTTTTTAAAAAAATCTTTCTTAATAGCATGAGGTGGATGGTGTTTTTGCTTACTGTCACATTTCATCCCTTGGTGTAGAAGTCCATAAAGCAATGACCCGCAATGGTCGCAAAATGTTGGGCTGCCATACGTGTGGATTTTGAACTTGTGCTTGCTTCTGGGATCCTAAGGAAGAAGGCAGAAATCAGGTGTCAAATCATATTCCAGAAATAAAAGCACATAACTCTTCACAGAGTGCTGAAAAGTTCATTTAAATCTCATCATACAACATAGCAATAACCGAAATCTGGTGGCCACCTGAAATTGAACATTATGACATTGTGGCACTGTGGCATGTGACTCCTGCAACGTGGACCTTGGAACCCTCCTTTAACAACTTTTGGTATCATGGTGGAAATAGCCAGAACCACATGGGGAGCCAGTCCCCACTTGTGAGAGTAACTATGCAGAACGGCTCCCATATAGTTCTGCTTCATTCCACCAGCCACCTGTATGTTTGCCTACATGTGTGAACTGTGCTTTACATTTTTTCAAGATACAGTGGTACCCCGCAAGACGAACGCCTCGAAAGATGAAAAACTCGCTAGACGAAGGAGTTTTTCGTTTTCTTAGCCGCTTCGCAAGATGCATTTCCCTATGGGCTTGCTTTCGCAAAACGAAGCTTGCCCCGCAAGCTCCGGGGATAGCGGGGAAGCGCAGCACGTCTTCCCCGCTGTCCCCAGACCTCTTTTGAAGCAAGGGGCGGCAATGGAGAGAAGCGATTCTCCCCGCTGCCCCTTCCCTTGCTTTAAAACAGGTCCGGGGACAGAGTGGAAAGCGCGCACGCCTTCCCCTCTATCGCCGGAGATTGCGGGGCAGGCAACGGGGAGAAGCAATCTTCTCCCCGCTGCCCCTTGCTTTAAAACAGGTCCGGGGACAGAGGGGAAGGCGTGCGGCGCTTCCCCTCTGTCCCCGGACGGTCTCCATAGGAACGCATTGATTGATTTTCAATGCATTCCTATGGGAAACCATGCTTCGCAAGACAAAAAACTCGCAAGAAGAAAAAACTTGCGGAACGAATTAATTTCGTCTTGCGAGGCACCACTGTAAAAGCTAAGATCCTGCTTTAGATTTTGTGTGTGCGCAAGAGGGAGAAAGAGAGGTATATAGTTATTGCCTCCTTTCTTTTGCTCAGCATTTGAACCAGTCACAGGAAGAGAAACACATTCCAGAACAAGCAGCACAGCTTGTCTCCATCAGCTCTCAACTGCCCTATAGTTGGCAGCAGGAGAGGGAAAGCTAGTGTGGTCCCTCATGGGACAAGACCCCCCACCCCTTCTAACAGTCTAGGAATCTGACGTATAGCTGATGGACACAGAATAAGAGACATCATGTTCCCTTCCATTAGCTGACCTACAGGGGTGCATTTATATACAGCAGAATCTGTAGCTCAGTGGTAACTTTGTGCATAGAAGGATCCAGCTTCATATCTCTGGCATCTCCTGCAGTGTCACCTAGCAAGAGATGGAAAAGACTTTGCCCAAGTCCCTGGAGAGAGTCACAGACAAAGAGGACAACACTGGATGAAATAGGCAAATATTCTGACCTGGGATACGGCAGCTTCTTAAAGATACTATAGTAGCAGTTTCATCTGCCTTATTTTCTTATTTTATTGTTATTATTGTTGTTGTTATTAGCAATATATAAGGATAGAAGAGAACAGAAAGGGAAAGGGAGAGAAATCCAGCAGCTCTCTCTCAGCCAAGTCTGGAAAGAAAAGTTTGAAATCAGGAATGTAGCTCCTTAGCAACAAGATGCATCTCAGTTAGACCATGAATTCATTTGCAAATATTTATATTGAGTTATATTTTAAGTACTATTGCAGGATCATAAAGTAGCAAGTTTTGTTCAGCTTTATTTACAAAAGCAGAAGGTCATTTGCAGGAACAAACAATAAAATGCCCCACGATATTATAACGCAGGTCCAAATTAAGTATAACGGTATAATATGGAGGCAAAAAGAAGGAGGCAAATACAACCTCACATGCATGCACTGGTAAGCGAGTCTTATGCATCAGATCTGGAGCATCATTAGGGACAGAGACCTCGTTTCTCTACCGTGGGACAGAAACATTTCTGCTGCAGACCAGTGAAGTTCCAGAAGAGCTCCCAAATTTCTTTGCAGCAGCAAAAGAACAGAGAGGTCTCTAGAGGCTTGGACATTAATTTATTGTGTCGAAAGCTCTGGTGTGCAATAATCTACTTAATTTCTTCCGTTGCTTGGAGGCACTCCTGGGTCCAACATTGTCACGGGATCAATTTGTAAGCCACTTTGAGGGTTTACCATCGAGCAGTGCTTAAATTTCATGAAATAAATACATACATAAATAAGTGGCCTTGATGGCTAGGAGTGCCTATTTCCAGGTACAGCTGGTCTGCCATCTACAGCCCCTTTTGGACAGAGATAACCTCATCAATGTACTCCAGGCTTTGGTAACTTCCAGACCAGGTTATTGCAATGAAGACAACTTGAAACTGATGATTATTTAGAACTCACATAACCCTTGTTTTACAACAGCTGCACTGGTTGCCTGCCCAATTCAAGGTGCTCACATCACTGCTTATTGCCCTAAATAACTACCTGAAATACCTAAAAGACCATCTCCTTCCCTACAGAATCTCTCAGGTGGCTCCACATCAGAGACTTGGGAGGTGGCAGCCCAGGAGAATGGATTCTCTCTGGCATTCCCTTCCTGCTAGAAGAGAGGCTTATGGCACTGCCATCATACAGCTTTCATCATATGCTGAAGGTTGTATCTCTTTAACACTAGGATTTGACACCTGAGATGAATGCTTTTAGAATCTACCCTAAAACTGATTTTAATATTGTGTTTTTGCATTGTTGTAACAACATCAAAATAGATGCAATATAAATTAGATGTGATATTTAAACCCTTGTCAATTAGCTCCTTGAAGCCATATTCAATTGCCCAATAGCAAATGCTTCATCTCCTGTCCCCAGACAACTATACTTCAGATTTCTATGGACAAAAGACCACTTATTCCTTTAAGTCCCATACCACATACAGGCTACACCCCAAAGCTGCCCTATACACATGCAACAATACTCCCTAGAGAGGGGAGTTGTTGTATATGTTTCTTCATGCCACTAACGGTGCAGATCTTTCCGTGAATGATTCCTTTTAATCTTCAAAACATTGAAGAATATCTAAACTGAGAAGTGTCTAAAGTACCTACATGCCCCTCTAGAGGGAGGCAGAACAACATATAGGGAAGTCTAATAAAAACAATTATTTTTTTGCATTGGTGTCTGTCCAACTTGTTCTCAACAGGTAGCATCTTCTATCATTTTTCAACATGTGACTTTCATGTAGTTCACCTTTACCCCCAAGGGATTCACAAGTTGACTCACAACAATAAAACATGGACTCTAATTCCTATCAGTCCTAGTCAAAATTGCCAATGATCAGGGATGATGGGAGCTGTAGTCCACCATCATCTGGAGGGCAGCAGGTTCTCCATCCCTAGCCTAAACAAGTGAATAATAAGTGGGTACAAATGATATTTCTTTGAACAAAAATTGCCAAACAGATGTCTGAGGCATATGGCAACCAGCACGTCAGTGCTGAGATCTCTGCACTTATAATGAGGGCAAGCTACACTTCACTGTTTTCTCTGGTCCAGAACTTTCTGTAACTGTAATAATGTAAATTTTCATAAGCAACCCTCCAAAAAACTCCCAGAGGGAACAAGGATAGCACTGACAAATGTAAGGAAGCCACTGTAGCTCATCCAGCAGTGGTCTCCTTGCTAAGTTCTCCCCTTCACTCTCCTCTGAACATCTGGCATCAGGGAAGGACAAGAACTTCACATCTGGAAAAGAGCCAACCAAGGTAGGCTCCTAAATTTCTAATGCAGAATCCTTTCATTAGACCTTCCTTAATAATCCCCGTTCAACCACTGAATATGATCAATTGCTTAAAAGGTACAAGAAGGCGTCTCCAAAAAGCTATACAAAATGTCTTGTATTTCTACTCGCTTCTTAACAATTGGCAATGTTCTCCATAATGCCCTTATGGATGCTAGTAATTCCACAGGACCTAAAGCAATTCCCAGGCCCTATCAGATGAATGGTGAAGTCACCAAGGTCTCATACAATGGGTTTGTTTGCTTTTTGTTTATGTGTCACAGCTACTTATTCATTCCTGAAATAGGAATTGGGTTTAGCCACCTATGGCTCCTCCTTGATGCACTGGAAATCACCAGAATGCAGGGGTGTGGGAAACTGTTGATATGCAAGTGAGAACAATCTTAGAACGGGCATCAACATGTCTTCAAGGGCTGCCTGGGGCCTAGGCGCTTATCAGACTTTCCTCTTAAAGCACAGATATTTTGTACATGACCGCAGATTTGATGGTGCACTCAAAGGATGCTTGGCTATCATTTCAACTTGCACTCGTTTTAGAAATCTGGTATGATACAGTGTTAGACATTTAACAGATTTATATTGAATATTATTTTTCGTTCTAAAGATGGAAAGCTTATACCAAAGGGAGCGTGCCCTGCATTGGTAAAGGAAGTGATTGGCCCATATTCTCAATTTCAAAGAAGTCACTGTGCATACTTCCTTAATTAGGAGAAACTATTTAGCAATACTGATGTTGAAACTTCATGGAAACACAAAAGGGTATGTGGTAACACATTTCTACTGGTTGTTTTATTTATTTATTTATATTTTTTTAAAAGAGTGCCATTACCATATGAAGATGTGAAAAAGACTGGGGCAGCGGAACGTTAACACAGCAAGTCTCTTCTGCAACACTACTATTACTGAAAGGATTGCTTGCGGCATTTTGGTGCCAGGGTCAAAGCTTATAATATCTTCCTCTCCAGTTATTATTTCCTAAAGCACAGCTTACAAAAATAAAGTAAGAAACCTGTTTCATATTAACTCTACATAGTTGCTATTTAAAAGGTTAGTTTGAACTAAGACCTTAGGTGTATCCTCTCCTCTCTCTTTTTCTGTTGACTTAATCCCTCAGTGTTGATACTTTTCTGGCCAAGGAAAGAGCAGCAGATAAAATGCCAGGGCAGCCACCTATCAGGGAGCAGAATCACAGCAGATCTCCAGAATTGCCTGAAAGTTCTGTGAATGGTGCCAAGAT